GTTAAAAGGATTGTTAGGAAGGGAAAAAGGGATGGCTAGATAGTATACACGTTAGCTCATTATAGCATTCAAATGCCATACATCTAGAAGAAATGAGGTCATTTTAAACAAGAGTGTTAATACACAAACAAGATATAGGACCAAAAATTCAAAATTATCTATAAAATATTTTGAATTTTATCTAAAATAAAGTTAGAAAGACAAATTGAAAACTGGAACCCTGATGGAATGATTTCTATGGTTGCACAAAAACTACAATTAAAATTACTACCATGTGAATTTCCTACATTTTCCCACATGTTCTCATTTTGTGAATTCACTTTGGATGAAAGTGATACCGAAAGAGATCATTTTTTGAATTCACTTTGGAATGATTTCTATGGTTGCACAAAAACTACAATTAAAATAAAGTTAGGGCTTATTCTTTCAAGATTAGACTCCACCTCTAGTTCAACAATGACTAATAACTACAATGATATATTCAAATTTATAGTTACATCCGTGGGACATAGATTTACCAATCTAGGGTACTTTAGAGCTTCACTACCACCTTAGAGATTACTAGGTCATGGTTACTACTTTTATGTGTCTATGTTTTAATTTAGTAATTCTATAATAGCAACTTTAATTGTACTTTATACCTTAATTTCTTCCAGGAATAATACAATATGTTTTTTTACTTGACTGTTTTTTAATTAACTCTGGACACTGATTTTTTATCAACTTCACCTTAACAGCTGTAGGTATGATGGCACAACTAAAGGCAAGATGTTCAGTGGTTCGAAGGGAAACAGGAAAGAGCTAAGATCCAACAGTGGACTCCAAAATGAGAGTTGAGTCTCCTTATCTTCATCTAAGTAAAAAAGTGCAAGATTACATTTTACAAACAAAGAATATGCCATCTTCTAGTCCTTTTAATCATGAGAATGCTTCAATTACGCCACCTACGGTATCAGATAAAACCAATGATGAAGGAAATCCAATATCAATAGATGCTGAGAGAAATCAACCTAGCTTTGGTACTAGTTGTACAAGCAACAACACAGCTTGCTCCTTCGTCATGGAATGTGACAATGGCCCAAAGAAGGTTCAATTTGCATTGTAAAAGAATACAATGTTTCATAGTAAGTTTTGCTATCCCTTGTCCAATTTGTTGGTTCAAGTTCCTTTTTTCTTATCTTTTGCTTTTCTTACAAGATGCCGATGCTTAAGGTAAAAAAATATGAGTGAGGTGTTTGTAATGTGATGTACCACATAAAAGCATAGTTATTGCATAATCTTATGAAGCTCAGTATTGCAACTATTACCCATTATTGTGTATAATTCACAATGCTTGAGCAGGGCCTGATGATCACATGAGCACAGGAATAGACAATTATTGACTAATATAGATTCACTTGCATTGAAAGAAATGGAAAACAATGGAAGTAATCAGTTGGATGTCTCGGCTGCTCACCTGAGTTTTCAAAACATGGATGTTGATCTTTGTTTCAAAACTAATGATGATCAGAATTGGATTAAACCTTTTAGAAACTTCCTATAGAGGGACTTTGGTCATAAAATGACCCAATCACCAATTGTTGGCTCATCTTGGGCTACCACAACATTAGTGAATTCACAAATTAATGCTCCCTAATTCTAATACTCCTTCACAATTGGAGTCCTAACAATTATCCCAAAATAAGAAGTACAAAATCATAGGTATCCTCAAAAATTACAGAAATGGACTCTAGTTAGGAACGGTGAATGCAGTAAAAAAATAGCTACAAGTCCAAGAAACATTGATTTGACGATTAAACATGGTAAAAGATCTCAGAAGACTATAATCAAACAAACTAATCACAAATCCCGAATAACATACGATATTCCAAGCAGAGGAACTATAATCAAGAGCAATGTCATCGCTAATTAGAAATTGATTCATGTAAATGCCGATAAAAAATCCTATATTTTTTCTCAGCAATCAAGCGTGAAACCACTAAACTGGCAAACAATTTGACTCAATCGATTGATTTTCTCCACTACCACATAAAAGTTAAGTACTGCTCAATCAATCAATTTGCATTGCAAGTAGATAATGGATTGCAAAACAAAAAGAAGAGAAAATTAAGCAAAAAGAAGATAGAAGAATGTTACCTAGTAGGGATGAAGACGATCGAGAAAAATCTACCGGCTGACGGAGCAGGCGGTGAACAACATGAGAATAAGAGGAGCTCCGATCGATAAACCATTTGGGGAATGAGGAGTGCGATCGACGATTGAAAAGTTTGATTTAAAACACTGAAAGTAAATCTTTTTGTAGACTAAAAAAATGTAAAGGAATATATGAGTAAATTATAGTTATGGTCCCTGTGTTATCACTTTGTTAACCACATGTAAAAATATAAAATGACCACTTTTTGTAAAAGAATGAAAAAGACACCGTTTGTCATGTTCTAGTAAAATTAATAAAAATAATTAGAAGAAAATATAGAAAAAAAGTACAAAATATGAAATGACTTAATGGTGATCTTCTAAATGGAAACTGTGGTTGTATTCATCTTTTCGGATTACGGACTTACGGTATTATATTCTGGAAAATGAATTCAATTATAAAAAAGAAAAATTATTTACATGTGTAGATTGTAGACGACATTATTATAATTTAAATAAACTTTTTTTTGGCATAAATGTTAAATTGTAAAACAAATGAAAATAAACGATCTTGCAATATCTTTAATAAACTTATAGCGTATGATGAAGGCATGCTATTTTTCTTTTTTTTCAAAAAAAATTACATTAAAAAATCAACTCAATTATGCCTACATTTTATTATTTCCTTGCTCTATTTACATAAAAAGTTGTGTATTCGTGTTTAATTGACATAATTTGAAAATTCTAACAACTAATTAATTATATCTAAAAAATGAGTATTATCCGAATGACATTGCTAGAATGAGAACAATTGAATTAAATTCCATAACAGAAGAAATAAAAAGAAAGTACTATAAGGAACAAATGAAAAACACATTTTTATAAGTTTGAATATTTATAATAAAAACTAGGTAGGGAACCCCGCGTTGCGGGGGTCGGATGTGATAATTTTTTCTTTGTTTGTTCTTTATAAATGTTATTTGATCAACATATGTGAATTTTTTTTTTTCGATTTATTCTCTGCAAATATTCTTTCATGAACAATTTATTTATACTCTGAACACGACATTAGGTTAAAGAGGGTGTGTAAAAAATTCCTCAAGATTTGATGGACATCAGTTGTGTGTGGAAAATTGAGGAGATCCGAAAGTGGAAAATGAAATTATAAGAAGATTATCAACATAACTAAATGAATCTGTTCTATTATAAATCATCAAGTGTAACAAATTGATTCCAATGGAATGCAACTTTCCATTCTTCTAATAACTTTAAAAAAGTACATTGCCTACATTTGTATAGGTTACACCATGTTCATTTAGATTAAGTAAAGACTTTAATGCGTATGTTGTCTATATACAGTATATTATCTATCGATTCTGTCCAGTATTTTTCAGATTTGACCAGCAAATTTTTTTTTTGAACCAGCAAATACAAATATATAATCTACACCTAAACTAACACCTAATTCCACCTATGTCCATGATGGGACTTGAACCCTCGACCTCAAGGAGGGAGGGCACCACCAGATTTGACCAACAATTTAAAGACACAAAATCATCCAATTGATTTCATTTGTTGGTTTTTAATACATTTTTTGGGGTCAAAACCGGCCCTTATGGATCTGTGATTACAATGAGAAATGGTTAGCATTTAAGATGTATGAGAACATAGTAAAATTTGTTGACCACAAAAACCCTAAAAACTTATTAAAAAAAAAAAAAAAAAAACTTCAAAACCACAAAAGCACAAGAAACAGAAGACATAAAAAATCAAATATTAAAATAGAAAGTAAATACAATTTGTTCTCATGTTCAGCCCAAGTCACTTGACATTGAATCTGCTTAGCAATTTTGCAACCATCAACCAATAAGTAAAAAATAAAATTATATGAAAACTTAATTGTTCAAACCTTCATCAAAATATGATCTTTTTTTACATAAACTCAATAATTTGGTCCTATCATTTGTCAAATATGCAAGTAAACCAAAACTCATTAAATGAAAGCACATCTTATTCTTACAAAAAGACAAAGATCCTTAATCTAGATTTTGTTTTTTTCTTCTGCAAACCTGAAAAAACTTATATAAAAAATTGTCTCTTCAGATCCCAACCATTCTTCTTCCCTGTTTTAGGTTAATATGATTATTCACAAAAACTCGAACCAAATATTTTTAATTGTTGGAAAATGAGTTACATTTCCAAGATTAAGAACCTTTTCCCAAGCTCCTATATGTTATATATCTCAAATCTCAGATAAACGAAATCAAATGCTTAAAGCACTTTGTGAAATCTGTTCAAGAATAGTTGCTAGTATGCAGGGGAAAGATGACTTTTTAAACAAAACTAAGTCCCAAATAACAACTGAGCTAACAAAGTAAGCAAATTTCACAACACCTAAGGAAAATAAATAGATAAATATAGAAAAGGTACAACTTTACCTGTCATAAGCTGCAATGTTGATATCCAGACCACTAACAAACAACTGCTTTCTGACAAAAAAAAACAGACATTTTTTTAAGTTAATAAAGTTACTGAAAGCTTTCATGGTCTGAAACTCCTAAATAATGAAGTTCAAGGATTACCTAAAAAGAGGCAACATAACATCCACGATGTAGTATGTTGGACCTTTTTAACCCAACTTACTTTCTTTTGGTGTAGAATTCGATCTAGTAGCGACATTTATAATTTCCAATGGTGTCATCATCTGCATCACAATCATCTAAAAAGATTCGGTAGATGTTGATTTTTAAGCATCTAAAATACATAATTCTTCGTACATCAGTACATGTATCCTAAATGATGAAGTTATAAACCTAGATTCTTCAGAATCAATATATTTTGATGATATGAAATCATAAATAATGAAGTTATAAACCTTGATTATTCAGTATAAACTGAATTTCAATATCTTCGATCTTGTATCCTTGTAATTGCCATTGCCTCTGCAAAGATCGACACACACAAACAGTATTTCGGTAACCTTGTACAACCACACTTTGCAAGATTTAATCAAAATCAACTCCATATTTAGAAGCAAAAGATGATTCGATTCCATTTGGAAACAAAATAATATCAATAAAGTTCAAAACATAAAGTGTTTCTTATTCAAAGTTTTTTTTTTTTCATCAAAAAAAATTATATCTAATCATGTATGTTGACAAATAACATTTTACTTGAACGATATGAGAATAATTAACAAATGAGACCCACAAAAGTAAAAAAAAAAAAGTATAAAAAACAATAATGTTAATAGATAAGTTCCATACAACTCATGTAAATTCAAAAAAAAATCTAAACACATATTTCATATTTTATTCAAAACATGTTGGTGGTATGTATGTATACTTAATTCAAGTTAACTCTTTTGTGTACAATTCAGTGTTTCACATACAACTCATGCAAATTTCAACTCATCACATTGTTCATGTCATATAACCTTTTTTCAACATTGAATTTCATCAAATCATCAATAAACAACTACAAAACTACTTACACAAGAAGAAAATCTATTATTACTTAGTGAAAAAAAAAGAGCATAAGATATCAGAATGACCTGAAACTGAGACATTTGTTAACTTTTGTAAGAAGATTAAGCCATAATCCAGCAAAAGAAAAAAGCCCTAACCTTCAACTTTGATTTGGCGTCGACAATCGGTTTCAGAATCTGATAAGAAGCAAAAAATCGAAGAGAAAGCACTGAATCACGTTTACAGCAACTGATAAAATTAAGCTAACAATTAAAATCACATCATAAACCCAAAACTAAACCCTAACTTCTGAAATTGAGGAAACAAAGAGGAAAGAAGGAGCACAGATACCTGGCTGGTAAATGTTTGATGAACTCAAAATCGAGCCCTAATAGGGATTGTGATAGAAGACCTTCACAATGGGCAGTTGAGAGAGGAGACGAAAACGAAGGGTTGTGAGCACGTCGAAGAGGGTGGTCGGCGTTACCTGATTAAATGCTTATTGAGCCCAAAATTATAAAATGTCAAAAGCAATGACGAAAGAAGAGGTAGCGATACCTAATTAAATGGTTGTTGAACCCAAAATCATCTGTCTCACATTTCAGACAGCAATCGAACAACCAACATGAACACTGATTTTTTTTGTGTTGCCCGATGATGAAATCGAAGCCGAAGAAACAGCCGTCGGCAAGAGCAAAGGTAGAGAACATGGAAGAAAATCTTATGCTCATCTGAAATTTCGAATAAATCAAACAGAGCAATCGAACAACCAACATGAACGCTGCTTTTTTTGTGTTTCCCGATGATGAAATTGAAGCCGAAGAAACATCCGTCGGCAAGAGCAAAGGTAGAGCAAATATTTACATCCGAAGAAAACCTGATGCTCATATGAAATTTCGAAGAAATCAAATGGGATAGGGGATAAGGACACGGTGGGAAGGATCCGAAAGCGGATAAACCAAACGATCATCAACACGTGTATAAAGAATGTAAATATTTGCATAAAATACCCAGATAAAAAAAACGGAAACAACACATTTTTGGGCCATTTTTGCCAAAAAATCTACCAGTTCACTATTCTTAAAAAGTGGCCTCCTTTAATATATATATATATATATATATATATATATATATATATATATATATATATATATATATATATATATATAAGAATATGTATGAAAATTACAATTTTACCATTATCTTGTGGCACCCAGATCCATTGATTGAGGCTTTGGAGGCTGTTGTTGGTGAAAATTACAAATTTTTATTTTATTTTCAACATCATATTTTTGCCTACCAATTAAACTTGAATTTTTAAAAAAGACATAAAAAAAACAATAATTTTTTCTTCACCTATATAATAAGCTCAAGTATATGGTGCTACGTGTCATATATTACAAAAAAAAAAATTATTTAATGTTTTAAACATATAGTAATCAGAATTGGCCAATGAGGAAAATATGTTCAAAGAGAAGGCAACAATGATACACCACAAAGGACAGGTAAAATAAAAACATGAATCTTAGGCTGTGTTTGGTTTATGGATTCCTCCGGAGTTGGAATGTGAAATTAGAGAGTTTGAGAAGTAAAAACAGTCAAACATAACAAATTAATGATATTTAGCATATCGGATTGCAATAGTTAGAGGGGGGTCTCATTATGGAGACATCAATGAATCAAAGACAGCAAAAAAATCATTCACACACCTGAGTAACAATGAAAATATTTATTACTAACAATGAAAGCCTTATGAGGATCTCAACAGTTACAGGGGGGTTTGTTTTTTTGTTATTAGTTGATTGGTTCACCTGATGATGCAAGTCTTGGGTTTCTAAGAAATGATAATGCAAGAATATATGTGAGACAACTTCCCCAGCATCCAAGACAACAATTCTCAGCAAGATTCCCAAATAAATCCCCCGGAGCTTTAGATTTGCTTGAAAAGATACTTGTATTTGACCTAAATAGGCGTATTATAGGTACTTTTACCAAATAGCTTCCTCCAGTATTATAACGACTGGGGTGATGGGCGGCTGAGCAACAACGACGACAAGTTGAGAGAGGGAGAGATGCGATCGGCGTTCGGCGATGGGTCTGAACGGGATATTTTTTAACGTGATACCTCTAATTTGGGGTTGGGAGGAAATATATTTGTATGGATTTACTAATTTACCTAAAACATTGAAACAAACATCATGGCTCAAGTTCATAAATGATTCTCTCTTTTCTTTTTTTTCACTAAAAAACCAAAATAAAACAAATTAATTTTTGACAAAATTGCAAAAATAGTCCTTGTGGTATGCATTTTTTTGGGGTTTTAGTCCAAATTCCGACTTTTTTGGATTAATAGTCCTTTTGGGCTAGTTTCGTTGTGGATTTGGTCCCTCAATAAATTGAAATGACTTAAATACCCTTGGGGTATTTATTTTCTATTTTTAAAATCAGTTTTTAAATGTTTAATAATTATTTATTCATTTTAATAATTAAAAAGTGAGAGGACCCACCTCCCTCTCCCTCTCCCTCCCTCCCTCCCCCCCCCCCCCTCTCTCCCTCTCTCCAAATAGAACCCATCCAAGATCGAGATGGTGGCCATAGGTCCGTGAACCTTGCTAACACTATGTTCTTCTTACCTATTTCCGATACCAGAAAAGAGCAAAGCAAGATTATAGGTTGTTGAATCACTTGGGCACATAGTTCTTCGGTTGATAAAGGTGGAGGTTGAAGGTGATTATGAACACAAAAGGAAGAACACAAAATGAACCTGGAAAAAAATCACTCAAAACCCACATCTCCATCTTCAAACCTCAGGCACCATAATACTTTTCTGCATTCATCTTCTTCAACATACACAGAAATACAGACTTGCTGATCCAACATACACACACACACACACACAAAATGCAGCCATGACGTGTTCGATCCCCTTTCTCGGGTTTCGATTCCAAACTTGCAGATACGAGCCTCTCATGATATCGTGTTCTCGATTCACCTTCGATTTTAGTTCTGATTCTCGTGACCCAATTGAGTTATGGGATGATTCAGCTTCGATTTTATTCAGTGCCATCCTTTTTTTCTTTGATTCCATTAACCCTAAAAATATAAATGGTATGAAAACACACATACAAAATCAAATTTTCAGAAATTGATTGTTCTTGAAGACCCATAATCCTTTTTCAGATTAAGACATTGATTTTGATTTTTAGTTCCAGAACCAAACCTAAAAGTTTGATTGTTCTTGAAGAGCAAACCCATAAAATCAGTTGTTCATCCACATTACCTGTTAATTGATTTCCAAAAAAGAAAAATTGATCCTACCCAAGAATATGAACCCACTTGAATCGATTTCCAAAAATAAAAACAAATCCAAATTGAGGCGTAAAGATGCAAAGAAAAGACGATGTATAACAATGGATTTTGGGGTAGAAACTATGCTCCTCTTGTTCGTGATGCAGAGAGAGAGAGAGAGAGAGAGAGAGAGAGAGAGAGAGAGAGAGAGAGAGAGAGAGACCCTTTTTATTTTTTAATTATTAAAATAAATAAATAAATATTAGATTTAAAAAAGAAATGAAAGAAAAATGGAAAATAAATACCCTAAGGGTATTACAATCATTTCATTATTCAGAGGGACCAAAAACGCAACGAAACTAGCTCAAAAGGACCACTAATCCAAAAAAGTCGGGGTTTGGACTAAAACCCCAAAAAAATGCATACCACAGGGACCAAATTTGCAGTTTTGTCTTAATTTTTTTAAGAAAAAGCTGGTACAATGCTGAGGTTAAATAAATTTTGATTTAGGGGTAACAATTTTCAAAGCCTAAAAAATATGGGGAAAATATTATTATACGAAAATTAGCAAATGTATGTCATCAAAATCTAAAAATTACAGAATATTTATAATGTAGAAATTATATTATAATTAAATTTTCAAAACAATTAAAAACAATATTTTATTTTGTTGTTGAGTTTTCAAAGATAATTGTGTATTTTTAATATATTTTTTTTCAATAATCTTATATATTTTGCTACGGAAACATATTTCGTAACTACTTAATAATGAAATTTTCCGTAGCCAAATACCTATGGATTTTGATTTTGTAGCTATTTTGCAAATTCACCTTTTTGTAATAAGTTCCATAATAGATTAGCTACAAAATTTTATTTTGTAGCAAATTTTCCTAGCAATATAGTTACGGATCTCAATTCCATAGCTAACTAGCTACGTATTTTTATTTCGTAGCCAATTATGTAACCAACTAGCTACATATATGGATTTTGTAACAAGTTTCATAGAGAACTAGCTACAACCAAAAAAATTGTAGTATTATTTATAGTAAACTAGCTACGGATTTTAATTCCATAGCAACTATTCAAGATTTAGCTTCGCAATGCAATTCTGTAGCCATTTCCGTAGCAAATTAGTTACAACCAACCATTTTGTAACATATTCAGTAGTAAAATAACTATAAATTTAGATACTGTAACAATTTTACGTAACCACTTAAGATTTAGCTACATAATGCAATTCTGTAACCATTTATGGAGCAAAATAGCTACGGCAAGTCGTTTCGTAGCATATTTCGTAGTAAAATAACAACATATTTTGATTCCATAGTAATTTTTGATAGCTATTTATGATTTTTCTTGTAGTGATAAGTTATGCATGAAAAAAAAAGGAATTATCTTATAATTTTTTTTCAATGATCTACTTTATAAACTCTGTGAAAAGGAAAATAGATCAAGATTTATGAAGCCTATAATTTATATTTCAATCCATTTAAGATGATAGCTCATTGATTATGTCAACTTAAAATTTAATCATTTGATAATAGTACAATCAATTTAAACTCAAACAAAAATAGAAAAATAATAGCAAAAATGCTTGAATAATAATACATTGCTTGGACCAAATGTGATCAATATCTCTGAAACGTCATACAATGCTGCTGATGGTATAAGCTTGTCCAATTGGTCATTCCTTTTGGAATATATGTAATGTGGACTTTGTCTCAACTAGGTCGACATGATCTTGCATTATCATCATATACATAACATGAGATTTGAAAAGCTAATATTCAATGTTTTACTTTGAGGTTCAAGTCTTCAAGACCGGTTCATCAAAGACTGGTCCAAACCATCCAAACCATTTCTGTAACTTCATGAACTACCGTACATACAGCCCTCTGTCTGAGTAAATGTGTGAACTCTCAAATCTCATTTAGGCCAACATTTTGACAGCCAACTGGGTCCGCTTTCTAACCCAACGGCCAATTTATTTGTATAGGCCCATCTAATAATATATCTCTAGCTACCCATTTTAGTAAAAGGCATTTTTGTTCAATTATATATTGAGTTTTTTGTACAAACATTTTTAATTTTAGTAAAGACTATTTTTGTTCAATTATATATTAAGTTTTTCTGTTTAACGTTCTTTTAAGGTCCATTTATTTTCCTATTTCTTATCTATTTAGTTTTTTTTATTAGATTTACAAATAATTTTCCGTTTTAGATAACTTGCATTTGAAAAAACTTTAACTTTTCTCTCTTTTAATTTTTTTTCTCTTTCGAAAAAAAAAAAACTTTGAGCATTTTTTTTTCCTTTTATGAAAAAACTCTCATAGCTTATTAAATTTTAAGAGAAAGTAGTAGATGAAGAACAACCATATAAGCAATGTTTAAAAACCCAGGTTTTTGGTTGATCTGGTATGATGACCGGTTCACGGGTCAACCCGGTTTATGGTCTTTTTCTGTTTTTATATATTTTTACTTTCATGCATAATGCATAAATATATAAAACCAATAATTTAATGTCCACAAAGTTTAAATATTTAAAAACATTGAAGAAACCGCAAATGGCTCGTTGTTTTAGCGTTCGCTACTTGTTTTCAACTATCCAAACCCTATTAAAACGGGTCAATCCGGTTTTAACCGGTTCGACATAAGCGGTTGAACCGTGGTTTAGGGGAAACCCGGTCGGTTCGATCAGGTTCAAATTTAAAAAAAATCGGTCTCAATTGACCTGCCTTCTACCCTGGGTCACGGTCCAACCGGTTGAACCGGCCGAGTCAACCCGGATTTTAAAACATTGCATATAAGTTAGGTTGAAATCTTATTCCTATTGGAGTTTGAAAGTTGTCTTTATATTTGATCTTAAAGCTTATGCCTCTCTCTCTCTCTATATATATATATATATATATATATATATATATATATATATATATATATATATATATATATATATATATATATATATATATATATATATGCATAAATACTTGTACCAAAATAGTTTTGTATGTTTTTTTTAATATTTTTGTTATTAGTTTGCATTTATTTTAAAATTAAAATTTTTGAATGGATTGGAAGATGAAAAATATGAGTTTGAGTATGTTGGGAGATAAAATAGTGGATGTGATAGTAGAAAGAAAAAAACTGATATAAGAGTGATGAGGAAAAGGGGTTGAGACTTGAGAGCAAATACTAATGGATACATTCCACCCTAACTTCAATCCGTCGTACTCACAACTTTTTTATTTTTATATTTCTATTCCATTTTATAAATATTCAATTTCATAAATATAGTTATATTATAATAATAGTTAAAAAATATAATAATAATAATAATAATAATAATAATAATAATAATATAAAATTGTAACATTATCAATATGTTTGTAAAAGATATGTGGTTTTTGTCCAAAAAAAAATAGTCTTTTAAACATTTATTGTTTCTTGTCTTTTTAGTGATGTGATGTTTCATAAAACTTAGCTTTTTGTATCTGTTAAATAAACAACTGTTAGTAGCTGATTATTATTCAGTCCTAGGTATGTATCACAAGTTTATACGATGTACTTCCTTAACCTATAAGGAAGAATGACAATTAATATACGAATTGTTTCTCTAAAGATAACAAATATTCTTCTTAACTCTCTTTCATTTTTCTCTCAAGTCAAGATCTTTCATAACATTCTTCTTGTTTATTTATTGTCTTTATATTTATTACTAATATTTTATTTATTTAATATTTGAGTACTTTGTTGAATCTTTACTTCAAATCTCAATTGTTACTACCAGACTTGACTGAAATATCTAATTAAAAGTAAACATTGATCTTAAATATTATCTAAAGGTTTGAGTTTTCAAACCTTGTCCTTGCATAACAATTCATGTACTTACATTTATACATACAATGTCACATAAATAATTTATTTTTGTATCATGTAGCATTTGTTGTGTGGATTAGTTATTTCACGATAAAATAACTATAATATATATATATATGAAAAGTTTATGCTAGTTTATTTGTAACAATATGTTACATTGTTAAATAACATTTTTATAAACTAGACTTATTGTATTTACGCATAAAAGAATAATTTGTTTGTATTTTCGCATAAAAGGATAATTTTTTTGTATTAACGAAATATATTGGCGTATGTATTCCCCCTCGAGATAATTAAATTATTAAAAAGGGTTCGTAAGCACTCACCCTTGAAAGAGTGAGTTTAATTTGTACGAAATCGGTTTATTTTGAGAAACTTATCGTGAGAAACCGCAAAACCATGATTTTGAATTTTGAAATACTTTCGGGACCGTTTTGTAACGATTTTACACTATAAGGGTTGATTTGTAAATTCACTAAACTATACGGTCTATTTGGTAATTTAACTAACCATAATATGACTGATTTGGTTAAAATAAATCAATGGTGGGTTTGCTTTGAATAAATGGAGTCAATGTCTCGGGATTAGACTGATCTTGTTAAGAAATCTTAATAGGGGGGACTATTTTGTTTAAACTACACCAAAGTTTGGGGGCATGGACTAAATTTGAAATGAATGTCACAGTAGGGGGGTTATTTGGTCATTTTAATAAAGTTAAATGATTTTAGGGCTTTTTGTTGGTGCCTCATCAATCGGGTAAAAAGAATCGTGAACAGAAGCTCTTCTCTTCCTTTTTCGATAGAAGGTGCAAAGGACAAAGGGAGAATCGGTTCACCTAGAGCGATGTGAGCAACAACAACAACGCAGACAAGGCTTCGGTGACTGTTTCTCGATAGGAGAAAAGTGAAGGTGAGAGGGGTGAGAGGGGAGGAGATAGTGATAGGTTTTAAGCATAACATCATTCTTATGGTTTACATGCAACCCTAATGCTTTGGATCTACGTTTTCCTTAAGTTATACATGCAAACAATCTTCCAAAGCATAAACAATAATCTAACATGTCTAAGAACAAAATTCATATGTAAATAAGGGCTTGGAATCTTACCTTACTTGTTATGTAGCAATAACAAGAACAATCTACAAAGTCCTTGACTCTTGAAAGCATAGTGCCCCAAGTGTTGCACCTCTAATGGAGTCACAAACACCACTAGAAACAAAGTAGAATATGAGGGAGAGGAGTAGCCTTCAAAAAAATCTTGGACTATCCAAGAAATCATTGGGAAGTTTTTGGGATCCTTTGGGGTTCTTTTTATAGTTGAGGCTTCTAGGGTTATCAACTTGGAACCCTAATTCCCTTGCTTAGGCCCTAAGCGATATATATATATATATATATATATATATATATATATATATATATATATATATATATATATATATATAGACTCCTTAATGGACAAGTCTTAGACGAAATCTTTATAGACCACTACTAAAAAAACAGCCTTTTACGACGCGCAATGCGTGTCGTAAAACGCTCAAACGACACGCAAATGCGTGTCAAGGAAGGCCCTGTCATAACGAGAGATGACACGCTTTTGCGCGTCGTATAGAGACGACGTGCATTTACGACACGCAATGCGTATCATTAAAACCCCTGTCAAGAAGGCCATGTCATAAATGAAGATGACACACATTTTTGTGTATCGTAATTTTAATTTAAAAAAAAATTATTTATAGGTTTACTATTTTTCAAATTAAATTTGCATTTCATCTCTCATAATAGAAAATAAAATACAATATACAAAAAATATAATCTATTACACAAAAGTTAAACGTCATACAAATAATCATTCCAATAGTAGACAAATGTAACACATCAAATGTGAAAGAGATGAAAGTCATCAACAAATAATAGTTGAACTACAAGAACTTGTTGCCCACCTTCACAACATCCCGAGCTACTTAGCTTGACACTATGCACATCAACAAGACCTACAAATTTGAATAATGCAACCATTAGATTCACATAAACCAAGAAATCCCAATATGTAAGCATGAAATTTATGCATCGATCTATTTTGAGGGTAATGAAATTAACTCACCATCTATCCACGATTGTGCAAAGTTAAAGTATGAAGATTCTTGTAGAAGTTCATTTCTTATACTCGTGGTTCAACAAATATAGTCATACTTTTCTTTTCTTTCAACCAACTATATTAGAAGCTCAAAGAAATATTGTAAATAATAATATACAACAATGTAATGCATAAGCTCAAAGAAATATCCTTTAACAGAAGTGATTAACTAATAACAATATGCCAAAAATACCCTTTAAGAAGACAATATTATTTAAGTCATAATACCTGAGCATTTCTGCACAAAGGATTTTGACTGAAGTTGAATTTGATTTTGTCAAAATAAGCCCAGTCTGAGGAGGAGTTTCCCACTTCAAAGAAATCCGAATTATAAAATGTAAAAAATATAATGCATCTCATCATATTCTTCATGAAAATACAAACAGAGACTAATATAATATAAGGTAAAATGCAAGAAATATAAAGGAGACAATGTCATGTTTATGTTTCCCACTGCTATGTTCTGTTATGGTTATATTTCCCTTCTCAAAGGAGACAATGTCATGTTTATGTTGATCATATTTTTTACTTTTTCTACACCATTTTAGTTTAAAGATGTCTGAATCAGAAAAGACGCTATTAACAGATTAAAAATAGAAATGATGAAGAAAAAGAATGTTGCTATATAGTTCCACATAAGCTCTTAACAGGAAATAGAGGGAATTGGTTATTCAGCACTAACTCTGAAAAGAGGGGTAAAATGGTCATTTACAATTCTTTCAGAACAAAAAAGGAACAACTTTTTTCATTTAGTACTTACTTTATGCATACCTCATTTATCTCAACAAATGCACCATACTGATTATGGCATCATTAGATAAGTTAAGTGTCTAAGTTAGGTAACTAATGAGACATAAAACTGATGAAATGACTAAAATGCCCTTATAGTAAGCATCAAAAGAAGATTAAGTATGAATTTATAAATTGGAGTAGGATCAATACTTGAACATTGATAAAAAAAACTTACATGAGAGCAAATCCCATTTTCTCCACAACACCTTTGAGTTTTTTCACCACTTTCAAGCTTAATTGGAAGGTGTTTCATGGATCCTGAGCCTCCTACTTTTTGCTCAAAGTTTACAGAACTCTCAGCAAATGTTGGACCTAAATTGAAAGAAAAAAATGGTTTTGTGAATATATACTTCAATTACTAAGAAATTAGTAAGTCAAAAACTACAAATGTTCCAAATAAGATGCTAGTAAAGCTTTGCCGTAATGGTAAGATGCCATGATATACAGAGCAAATGCAAAATTCAATAAGATGCACATATTAATATTTTTATGATATTATAAGATTTCCAAATAAGATACTAGTAAAGCTTTTGCACAGTGATATAAGATGTCATGACATACAGATCAAATTTCAAGATTAGTTTAATAAAATGCACATAATAATATGTTTTAGGGTAAATTATAAAAAAGGTCCCTGATCTTTCTGATTTTCCCATTTTTAATTCAAAATTGAAATATTTGTCAACTTTGGTTCTTATTTTTGTTCCAATTGCAGATTCTTTTCTCTTTCCAATTCATATTTTTGTTTCCATTCTATAGCCTCAGCTTGAGCAGCAACTTTAGCTTATGCTGCTTCTCTTAAAACCTTGCTAACAGCTTATGAATGACATAAACCACAAGGATTAGACACGAACCTTATTATTTACAAAAGCATCCTACTTTTATTTAACCTAAATGAAAGAAATCATACATCTCATGGCTTCTGAAAACTCCACAAGCTGATCTTCAATCCCATCAACAAGTGGAAGTGGCTGATCAACAATTTCTTTTACAGCTTTCTCTAAGTTTCCAAGAAGAAGGAAATCATTTACACCATTCTCCTGTGCAAGATTATGTGCGTTTTCCTGTTCAAAATTGAATGAAAATTTGGAAGATAGTAAGTAGAAAACGTAATATGATAAACTCAAGATTAATATGATAAGGAATCACCAACCTATTGAGCACTACCACCCAAGTGAATTTTGATTTTTTTTCCTTTCAGTAACTATTAACATTTAACAAAAAAACAAAAGAGTTGTTTTTTTTTTTCCAAAAATCTGTAGTCATTTTGCTAAATAACTTGCACAAAAAATATCTAAAAACAAAACCTTGATAGTTGCTCTTGACTCCGTTCTGATCCGAGATATGTTTGAGCCACATCTCCTAATTAATCCACCAATAAATGTCTCAAAAATCATCATCTCTAGAGTTACATATTCAGCTGAAAGGTAAATAAAAAAGTGTATATATACACATCAACTATATGATAAAATATAAATGATCAAAAGACTAAATGACTATGTTACCCTTATTAGACTAACTAGCATTGTAATATTTTGTAATTATCTTTTTATATTTGGTAGGGTTCAATCCCATTTCAATTTTAGATTCTTCATACATCTCCTATATATATATATATATATATATATATATATATATATATATATATATATATATATATATATATATCTATAATGGATTGCAAAGGTCAAGCAGTTTAATACCAAACTTTAAAAAGGAAAACCAATTCCATCTATAATGGAATGCAGTGATAGTTTCCGCAGAGTTGCTTGGAACCAACTTGATTAGCATCTCAAAGCTCCAAAAAGGAATGTGTTTTGTGATTGAACACCGGATCCTGTAATTGGAGTTAGATCAACAATCATTGTATAAATTATGCTACTAGCAGGAGAAAGTTAGAATTGGGGTTTGACTTTTGAAGAATTAAATAGATTTGCATTGAGTGTTTCCAGCAAAAAAAAAAGTAAACATGATAGTGAAGATGCATGATATGTACATGAAACACGAACCAGAACCAGATTAAGATCACCATTGCTAAAATTGTATGAATGCTTGGCACCCCAGTTGAAGTACATGTCTTTGTAAGAGTTTCCATGAACAAGACATGGTTGGAAAGCAATGCAACACGATTCTGTAATTGTATGTAATAGGCACACACAAAGATTATCCGATAAATGATTTGTTGTCAAGCAAACATGTGACAGATAAGTATTTTAATGAGCATGGAGTTATTGATTTTTCTAGGAGTGGGTTTGTAACTAAAAAGGGGACAAAACCATATCAGGTATATTATTATTATAATATGAACGGATAACATAACAACACTATTTAATTGTGTAACACCATAATATTAGTACCTATCTGATATTTTATATTCCTTCCTTACCAATTCAGTCCCATGAAGTTGTGAATCCCAATACTGCAAAGCTACAACTGGTAGCCAAGAATCCGCAACAGCAACAATAACCATACTAAGAATCAAACTCCAAACTAATAATTGTTTAGAACTAAGTGGGTGAATTGGATATTAATAAAGACTGACCTCACACCAACACTTCTTAATTGTTTACAAGCTAATAAATTCAAATTAAAAAAAAAAAAATAAGTCATGAAAAAAATTATCAGAAGAATATCTTCTTTTTACAATAAATTAGTCCTTTAAAAGCTTATTTCTTTAATTTGATATTTTCTTACCTCCATTAAGCCAAATAACCAACGGCTTCTCATCTGGGAAAGTCCACAAGATCATATAATAGAAGCATGCCAGATGCTCCACAACCCACCCCTGGACCAATTTTACTTGGGGATTCATAGGATCTGAATACACGAAGGTTTAAAAGCAATTTTAAGGAGGGGCAAAGAAGGAAATTAAAGGAGGCATCCATTACTCAGTGAGAGATGGTTGACTTTCAGCATAATCTTTTACTCTAACAATAACACTAAGATCAAGATACATGTTTTTACTTGAATATGATTTATCGCCTAAATCTTGAAGTTGAGTGCTTGCTTCCTGTAAAAAGGAAGAAAAACAAGTATGTAAATTTAATACTATTTCAATTTACTGATAGGAAAAAAGTTATCGATCTAAAACAAACCTTAGGAACAAAAACATGAAACTCAACAAATCATGGAAACTGTAACAAAATCAAAAAGAGAAAACACCATAGCAACAATCATAATGAGGCTACAGAGAAGAGCGAAGAGCGAGAAGGTAGAATATTCACTCTTGCCAAATAGGAGAGTCATTTAATATACTCCACCATTTATAAGCATCATTAATGGTGAGCATCAATATCAGCAGCACATAATCAGACGGGCCTAAAAAGACCCTATACATTTCTGGAGATCCAATTAGTGGTGTTGTTGAGTAGTGTCGAGATCATGATAGAGTAGGGCTTGTAAACCAAGATATACCTTAATCTAACTTAGGGCTTGTACCCTTGAGCAATCGTTGCAGTCTCTGGTCAGGTGAAGTGAGCCCGAGGTCGCCGATAGAAAGATATGAGCCGAGGTCATAGGTGAGTTGAGGTAGAGTACTCCTTGAAAAATCCCTAGATAATGATACTTGCACATCAGCAAGGATGTGAACCTGAAGCGGGCCATCAATTCTTAACTCCATGCCGGAGTACTTGATATGAGATATGAGCTTGGTTGTGTGAAAATTGTCGGCTGGTGGCGTGCCAACTGTTGCCTTTATCAACGTCGACGACTGGGAATAACAAGTAACAATGGTCAAAGTGCGAGGAAAGAAGTAGGTTGCAGTCAATATCGAGAAGGGAAGGAAGGAGCGTCGATAATTAGGGCAAGATGGAAAGGAAGAAAAAGGAAGGCGAGGATTTTAATTTTTTTAGGATTTCGTTTCCCCCCGGGCTATCAAGGGATGGAAAGCGCGTTTCCATTAAAAATTATAAAGCGACATCCTCAGACGACACACATTTTGTTATAGGCGCCCTTCGTGTTTTTTTATACACTAATTTAAGGGCGCGCAAAAAATACGTGTCGTAAATCTTTAAAATTTATAGAGAGATGACATTACTTTTAGGTCACACACTATTGCATATCGTAAATCAATGCGTATCATAAATTGCACGTCGTATAAGGTTGTTTTTCTAGTAGTGCACCTTGTTTTGTGATCCTCGGCATCCTAGTCACAAAACTTAAAGGGCACACTCGAGATTGAAACATGCCATTGAAAAGTTCAATGAATCTCAAAGAACCTAGGAATTTCTAAACCAATTGAAACCTAATAAGATTTATTTCGTTTTATGGTGAAAATTGGTGAATCGTCATTCACCTACCTTCAAATATTTTATAGCTTGGATTACGGCATCCCTCTTCTAAGTTATAAAATATTGTGTTGGGTCCTAGCCTTATTATAGAATTTGGGTGCTTTATTAAGGACTATCCTGAAATCTAATCTAAACTTATTCTTTCAGTTTAGATGTCTTCCAAAAACAATGCTTCTGGCTCAAACCCTACTAGCTCCTCTCTTATGAACCTTTGTAGGAGAGTAATCTTTAATGGATCCAATTTTATGGATTGGATCAGAAACATCAGGACGGTCACTCGCTATGAGGACAAAGAATATGTCCTTGATAGGGAGCTGAAGGAGATTGATGAGTCAACTGCTACCCCAAAGGAGATTGCTGCATTTCAAGCACATGAAAGGGATGCTACCAAAGTAGCATGTATCATGACTGCCACAATGACAGTTGAGCTCCAAAAGTCCTATGAGGACTATTACCCTTTTGAGATGCACATGGACTTGAAGGAGCGATACCATCAAAGTGCTCGTCAAGAGAGGTATGAAATAATCTCCTCCATGATAACCACCCAAATGAAGGACAATGAGTCCCTCACGACCCACTTACATAAAATGCAAAGGTTTGTGGATCGCTAGAAGAAACTAAATGTTGACTTTTCTGAGGAGTTAGCAATAGATATCATTTTGCACTCCTTACCTTCATGTTATGATCAATTTAGAATGACATACCACATGAATAAGGAAGAAGTTACACTTAGTAAACTTCAAGGACTCTTAAAGACTGCAGAAAGTAGACTTAAGGGTAAGTCGGGTGTTACTACTCCTACTGCAGCCAATATCTTGGCAATCGGGCATGGAAAAGGTAAGAAGAGAAAGAACCCATCTAAGGGTACCAAGGGTAAGACCCTTGAAGGCTCCTCTTCAAGCAAAACCAACAAATGTTTTATCATTCTTTCTGCTAACCCTAATGAGACTGAAAGCTTCTATTGGCATGAAAAGTCGCACCCGAAGCGAAACTGCCCAAAGTACCAGCAAGATTTGAAGGATGGGAAAGTAAAACCCAACCATGTGGGTATATACACTATATTGTCTAATAACTCACCTCATTCGAAGTCTTGGGTCCTTGATACAGGTTGTGGAATTCACATATGTTCTGATCTGCAGGGACTAAGAAGAAGTGAGGATTTGGAGCATGGAAAGATAACCCTAATCATGGCGAATAGGAACGTTTCATCTGTCACCAAGATTGGAGTTTATTCCTTGTTACTAGATAGTGGGTTTACATTAGACTTGAATAAATTTTTTTATTCGCCAGAAATGGCAAGAAATGTTATTTCCTTCCATGCATTGTATAAACAAGGGTTCACCTCTTATTTTGATAATAAAAGTGGTGGTATTGATGCTTTCTATAATAGTGTTCTATATTTTAAAGCATTACCTTGTGATGGTGTTTATGAAACTGTATATGTTGTAGATAACTTAGGAAATAATGTATTGTGTATTGATTCTTCCACTAGCTTAGATAAAGCATCTTTATGGCATTTTCGTCTTGGACATGTAAGCCAGAAACGCATAGGCCAACTCCAAAAGGATGGAGTCTTAGAATCATTCGACCTGAAGTCAGATGATAGTTGTGAATCTTGTCTACTTGGAAAAATCACAAAGTCACCTTTTACTAGCACTTGTACTAGGGGTGAAGGTTTGTTGGATCTCATACACACAGATGTTTGTGGACCTTTCGAAACCGCCACTAGAGATGCTAATCGCTTATATGTGACTTTTATTGATGATTTTAGTAGATATGGATATGTGTACTTAATCAAACATAAGTCGGAAACCTTTGATAAATTCAAAGAGTTTAAGCAAGAAGTGGAGAATCAGTTGGGCAGGAACATTAAGATGTTTTGATCCGATAGAGGTGGTGAGTATCTTAGTACTGAGTTCCTTGACTATCTTTAGGAATGTGGGATAGTCTCACAATTGACACCTCCCAAAACACCACAGTTAAATGGTGTAGCTAAGAGGCGCAATCGAACCTTGTTGGACATGGTTCGTTCCATGATAAGTCGAGTTTCGCTACCAATCTCATTTTGGGGGTATGCCTTAGAGACTGTTGCCCATATCCTTAATCTAGTCTCTACAAAGAAGGTTGCCAAAACACCTCACGAGATTTGGACTAGAAAAGTTCCAAATATAGACCACATCAAGGTTTAGGGTTGTGAGACTTTCGTGAGACACGAGACTCACGACAAGTTCGAACCTCGAAGTGAGAGGTCTATTTTCATCGGCTACCCACATAAATCTTTTGGCTATATCTTCTACAAACCCAGTGACAAGTGGTTTTTGTAGCAAGAAGAGGAGTCTTGAGAGAGAGAGAGAGAGAGAGAGAGAGAGAGAGAGAGAGAGAGAGAGAACTCGTAAGCCAAGGAGACAGTGGGCGGCAAGTTGACTTTGAAGAAATTCAAGAGTCAAGCGGTGAAGGAACCTCAAACCCTAGCCCTCAAACTGAGGAGGAAATTCCTGTTGAGCCGCCTGAAGAGTCCATACCTCTGAGGCGTTCCACCAGAGTTAGGAATGCACCTGAAGAGTCCTTATCATTGATAATACACTGATAAATCTGGAAGAGCCTAACAACTACACAGAAGCCATGGCAGTCCTTGAGTCTGCTAAATGGAAAGAGGCTATGGATAGCGAGATACAATCCATGTATGACAATCAAGTTTGGAACTCGGTTGACAATGAACCAGGTCGTAAGACAGTAGGGTGCAAATGGATCTTCAAGAAGAAGCCCGACATGGATGGTAATGTACACACTTATAAGGCACGACTGGCTGCAAAGGGTTATTCTCAAACTCTGGGAGTTAATTATGATGAGACCTTTGCACCAGTGGCTAAGATTAAGTCTATTAGGGTTTTGTTAGCCATTGCTGCATTTCATGACTATGAAATATGGAAAATGGATGTCAAAACCGCTTTCCTTAATGGAAAGTTGGCTAAGAATGTTTGCATGGTTCAGCCAAAGGGTTTTGTAAGTACAAAATAACCTAATAGGGTGTGTAAGCTTGAAAAATCCATATATGGATAGAAACAAGCACCTCGCAGATGGAATCTTTGCTTCGATGAGAAAGTCAAAGAGTTTGGCTTTTCGAGATGTAAATATGATTCTTGTATATATGTCAAGGCTAGTGGGAGTATAGTTAGCCTTTTGGTACTGTAGTGGTTGACATACTGCTCATAGGAAATGACATCCCAACCTTGCAGGAAGTGAAATCCTGGCTTGGGAAGTGTTTCGCTATAAAATACCTAGGAGAAGATGCCTATATCCTTGGGATAAAGATTTTGAAAAACATGAGTAAAAGACTAATTTGACTTAGTCAGAGTACCTACTTGGACAAAGTGCTGAAGAGGTTCAGTATGGAAAATTCCAAGAAAGGAGATTTACCTATTCAGTGTAATGCCTAACTGAGTAAAACTTAGAGCCCGAGTACAGATGAAGAGATAGCTGAGATGAGTCAAGTCCTATATGCTTCCGATGTAGGCTCGATCATGTATGTTATGAATTGTACTCGTCCTGATGTTGCTTTTGCTTTAAGCATGGTGAGCAGATATTAGAGTAATCCTGGCAAGGCTCACTGGACTGCAGTAAAGAATATTCTCAAGTACCTGCAGAGGACTTATCCTCGGTGGGAGTGATGACTTGATAGTTGTAGGGTATAGTGATGTTGGCTTCCAGACTAATAGGGATAATTTCTGTTCTTAGTCGGGCTGGGTCTTTACCCTAAACGGAGGGGCAATTACTTGGAAAAGTTCCAAGCAAGATACAATGGCTGATTCCACTTGTGAATCAGAGTATATAGCAGCAAGCGAAGCAGTAAAGGAGGCTATATGGCTAAGGAACTTCATTAGAGACCTTGGAGTTGTACCAGCTATTAAGGAGCCCATGGAAATTTTCTGTGATAGTGAAAGTGCAGTTGCCTTAGCAAAGGAACCAAGGGATCACGGGAGATCCAACCACATCGACAGAAAATATCATTTCATCAGACATAGAATAGAAGAAAGAATCCTCTTGGAAAAGAGGGTATCATTAGAAGAGAACCTGGCAGAGCCCCTCACGAAGGGATTGAGTAGGGTTAAGCATCTTTAGCATGCTAGGAGCATAGGGCTAAGAGATGATATTAGTTTTTAGAAGTTAGATAATTTTGAACTATGTAAAATGTAATTGACATTTGATGATAAATAAAAGTTGTTATTTATGAGTAAAGTGTTGCTAATCATTTACTAGTATTTCTTTTTGCATGTTTTGAATTCCAGAATAATTATGTTATGGTATATATCATATTATTCAAATTCTCCAC